CCCCAAAACCCCAAAACCCCAAAACCCCGTGTGGTCAAATCAGTCAGTCTCTGTAAAATAAATTCAAATATTTAATCATAACAATCTAAAGTATTAAGATTAATGTTTTGATCTGTAATTGTTCCTATGAGTTCTGTTAGAGTCATTAGAAAATTACAGAGATAATATATATTTACAAACAAACAACTAATTTGTTGAATCAACTTTTTATTGAAGCCATGAAAATTTTAGCAGCATTCCCTTTCAACTGCTTACTAATATTTTTTTACACCTAAAATTCCAAAATTTCTCTGCTGTTGATGCCTTTCTTAGTTTGATTGAGAATCTAAGGTTATGTACTCACAGCTTAAGGTAGCACGTATCCAGGTCCAACCCCTAGTATCTCATCCTTGTCCTAGACCTATTTATTTCTGATTTCAACAATGTAATTCTCCAGCACTTTCAACTAATCTAGCTAGTTACTTATCATGAGTCTTTGATACTCAAACTTTTTCTTAAGAGTACCTGTATTCTCACGGATGCCTTTCAACTATGATTTTGCTCTTTACTTCATAATCATAACGTTGATCATTTGCTCCTTCCTTTTTATCAGTGGAGTAATTGAGAACTATCTACCAATAGGAGATTTTTCTTATTTAGTATGGTTGTTATTATTGGTTACACTCGCATTATTATTGATATTTAAACTGGCATTGTTAAAATTGTTGGTGTTGCTGTTATTGTTATTATTACTTAATGATTGCTTAATAATATCTCTGTTTTGATTATCTAGGGACTAAAATCTAGATTGCCTATTTGAGAGCTATGGTGTGGTATGCTTAGATGACACTGGGCTTTTATCTGCCTGATAGGTGATGCTAAATTTTGGATTGCCAATTGTAAGTCGATTTTACGGACTAGGAGCATCAAGCTGATTGAATAATGGAATTTTAATTTCTTACTACTAGAAGGTCTCTAAAGTATTTCTCTTTAGTGAGGGTGGAATAAGGAGAATTGGCTATTAATCATCCAGCATTTATTTCCTGATATTTTTCTATATAGGTTAGCAATTCATTCTGACTGAAAGATCTTGATTCAACGATTCTTGAGCTGTCTTAGGCTTATTTCCTTATTGAAAAACGATAGAGTTAAGTTTAGATACTAGGTTAGAGTGTCTTTATTTGGAGAGAGTTCGATCCTTTCTGAAGGATTGAGGAGCTACGTAATTGCTCTAGCGAGAGAAATGGCAATCAAGGGCTGATTTCTCATCTAGACTGTTCTTTGAAATGTAATCGAATAATTTCTATTTAAAGGCATCATTGTTTGCGTTTGAATGACTGTTTTAACTTCTAGATCTTTTATGCATAAACTATCTATTATTGAATACGTCATAGTTGAACCTGTATTTGTATTAAGTGTCCTCATTGTTGCTTGACTGGAAAAATTTGAGAAAATTTACATTCCTATTTGTATAAAAATTCTTCATTGCATATAGAGACTATAGCATTGGTTTAGGGGACTGATTGTTAGTGAAATTAAGATTAAGCTTAAGTGGATTTACTTCGGTATTTATTTATTTTTACTACTCATCTTCATCTGTAACTACTTTGAAAGCCTTATAAATTAGGCCTTGGCCATACTTTTTCATTGGGGAATCATGATTTTTAAACTCATCATAGTCGTTTGGGGAGTTTCTTTGGATATGGATGTTATGTATGTTTGGGCTAATATCTATTAATAACTTTGACTTTTAGTTTCCTGTAGAATTCTTCGAAGTCTGCTGAACCAAATATAAACTACTCTTGTTCAGCTCATCTTTCATCTACAATTGCTTTTGTTCACCCCCATTAGTACTATTTTTATAATCCAAGGAATAATCCTGCTATGCTAAATTGTTAACTTGATTCCTTTAATGATATTCTCAATTTCAGTTTTGCTTTTAAGCATGCTAAATCTAGTTACTATTAGGACTTTTCTCTTAGTCCATCAAGGGGAACTCTGAGTCTTTGATTGAAAGATCAGCAGTGAGTTTCATATCGTGCTATTTGCCTTTGCTAAGTCTATACATCTAATGGTGATGCTACTTTTAGGAATAAATTTGAGAAACGTCTGATTTTAATGGAACAAAGTTTCTGTTACCAATTCCAGGTCTATGATTCTTACTCTTGCTTGAAGTGCTGTATTAACTCTCATACATTGGATAATTGAACTAATTTTTGAGTTCTGATTTGTGCTTTGACAACTTCTCGAGATTATTGAGATTGTTTTTCAGATCTGTCATGCTATCTTAATAGTCCTCCACCTAATTATGACTGGACTATTCTTTCAAATACTGGGAGGGATTTTTTTAACTCTGCGCTAATAAGTCGTTCTTTTCAAAAGTCTTTTGATTCTTATTGAGGGAGATATCTGTGACACTCTCCTCAAAAGGCACATTCATATTCATTTAAGTATCCTCATGTGTCTGTAGAGGACTGCAATTTTATTCCATTTATTAATTATTTAACCTTATAATATATCACTTGCATTATTTCATTCTCATCTGGACAAAACTTACTTTTTTAATCATATTTATGGGGTTTTGGGGTTTTGGGGTTTTGGGG